ACGATTAAAAAGTGTATCCAAATTAACCTTAGGGTAACACATTTATCAAGATTCTTTTTATCAGAAATTAGAAACAGGTAAATCATTGTATTTGAAAGAATGTGAGAAGAGACAGTACAGTAGTGGAGCAAAATATTTGTTATGCGCACACTGTATCAAGCTAATCGAATTTCAAAATAACACCCAATTATGTATGATGCAATTTTACGTCGAACTATAGATATCTACGTTTCTAATAAAATACACCATACAAAATATTTTTGTACTATTAACATGAAGCATCTCAACTCTAAAACAAATTTTTTACATTTTACTATATTGAAAGAAAACTAAATTTTTTACATTTTACTAAATTGAATAATCTTCATTGAACAAATTACCATTGAATATATAATTTAGCAAAACTAACGTTCCTTAGGGACCAATTAAGTAGAAGATAAAATTTAAAAAGGTACACAGATTATTGAATATTAATTAAATTCAGATGTTCTTTAGCAAAGCACATTATTCTTTTCGATTTCTTATACCATTTTATCTCTACGAAAAATCGAAAGGACATAAAATTCGAACTGCTCCCCGATCAAATTGAAGTTACGGTGAATTATTCATTGCTTAACCTTGCGCGAACTTTGATTTAGGTTTCTCTTTTTCCGACAAGATTTTGCAAATTCACCTTCAGTGACCGCAAGGCAAATATCTATTTCTTGCGAGTGACTAAAGTGCATGTATAAAACACTGAATAATTTGTACGTTCTCAAAAATATTTGTCGTTCCATGTTTCGTATACGACACAATAAACGAAGTAACAAAAATGTTGTTATTTTTAACTGATTCTTGTAGTAACTATGCCAACATCCATTTGAAATTATTTTCCATATAAACTACAACATTACAAGCAACGAGTGACAACATTGCTTAGAAAATTCATTTTGTCACAAAATGACAATATTTTCAGTGAATAAACTTCTTTCTTAAATTCACAATGTAAATTTACATCCAATGAAACACTTTGGATGAAGAAAGTAAACAAAATCTATTATTTAGATCGCCATTTACTATACGAATCATTTAAATATACAACTCAAATATAGAACAAAAAATCATACGAAATAATTAGCAGGATAGCTTGTATAAAAAGACAACTAAATACACAGTACATTAATAAATCCATTGTTCACCGGATCATCCAAATAAAGCGCCCTATTTATATTCCCCTTATTTCGAAAAATTCAAATAAACAAAATCCCATTTAATGTACCAATAATATATAAACAAATAATACAGATAAAGGAGAATATACTTGAGATTAAAAACAGTGTCCTTTACCATAATTTTTCAAAACAAAAAATACACATGGAAACTATTATCGATAAAATGATCCAATCAAGACAGAACTAGCGATCCTAGGGTAGACACGAAAATCATGCGAAATAAACGACTGACCTGCAAATCGGGGCGCAGCAATGTTTATCGCTCCATCGAGCCGTGAGCGAAATTCCGTGCGGACTTACCGGGATCTGTTAGCGCAGAAATAAAATGCGAACTGGCTGCGAGAATGTAGCGGAGAGAGAAGCGAGCACGGCGTCTTCATGAAAGTAAAATCATTTCCTGCCGCGGGGACGTTCTGCCTGCAGGTTTTGACGAGCACGTCCACTTCACCTGCCCCGAACTGTAGTTCCGAAGCGCAAAGTGAAAACAAATACCCCCGATGTGTACCTGTCTGTCCCTGCGTAGAGCGGTACCCCACGAAGCGATCCCGCCGGCGCATCGGTGCCCCTACGGGATCCAGCGCGACCTTCACGAACCCTCTTCCGAACCTCAACAGGTCCGCACGGGAGGGTCGTAGCCAGCCACTTCGCTGCACTTGCTCGGTTTTCAAAATGCACGCTGTTCCGTCTGTTTCTTGGGCCAACGCGCAGCTAACGTTTTGCCTTAGTGTCGTGTAGACTCGTGGTGATTTCGAACAAAATTTAACATACGTACCGCGACGGGTCAAAGGTTTTTGCAATTGAAGATTCTGCGTTTTCTTTCGTTCGTTTAACTTTATATCAACTCCTTGTTCGATTAATTAGTTTTATCGATTTTTATATTTCCTTTTCTTCCTGATTCCACTGAGAGAAATTTATCTTCTAATTTGTTCATTTTGTAACCACTTGTTTGACTGGTTGCGATAGAAATGAATATATAGAGTTTCGGTACGTATGGTGTCAACATGTTGACCGGTCATGAGTTAACTGTTTGCACTTGCATTAGCTTTTAATGTTTGAAACGCAGGGCACTGTGGAATATTGCAAAGCAAAATGTTCAAAGTTATATAAAAGATATGTAAAAAACACCTTTTTCGGTATCTACAGTAACAACTAAAAATAACATCTGATAAAGTAACATAGTGAACACGTGTCGGTAAAGATAGCATATTTATAATTAGTTATTTTATAATTATTCAAATCATAAAGGTGCTCCAGTGAAAAGTTATTGAAAATATTCCTTTACTTCTCCGTATACTTTGGTAAAAATTGCAAAATTAAAAAATCATTCATTAGACTTAATTAAATTATATTTCTGAATTTTGTAATGTAAAACATTACCTTACATTACATTGTCTTTCACTACGCATTTTATACTTAATTGTAGTATAATTAGATTTTTTTTAAATATTTTCTTAAATTAAACACACTGCACTTTACTTTTCTACTATTATATCGTTACATTACCTATACAAGTAAATGCATTTTATTATTTAAATCGCCACTTTATCGTTACTATACGTTACAGTACAATCAATATATAATCACAGACACCATTCAGAAAAATGTCTTTATTTCTAACTAACCGATAATCCAAACGCGAACTTCGCAACACTATAACAACCCTTCACCATCGAATTAACCAGATCAAATTTTCCCACCTCATCACTACCAAGAGTAAGACAATCCTGTTACATTTCCCCTAATGCCAACAAGTGCTCGAAGGCATCAACAGGTCGAATAGGAAATTCACCTGACCCGAGAGTCGAGCAGGTCGCCCGAAAAAAGCAAACCCCCGGTCGAAAAAGTTGTTAATTCAATAGTTGCCGAGGGGAGCAGCAGAAGTAAGAGGGGACAAAAGAAAGTAAAGAAACGCGACTGAAAAAAGCATACTTTTTATTCGTAGCTTATTACGCGCGCAGTCGTGTGTTCTGTGCGAGAGGGTGTCTGGCGAGTCCCCGCAGGGATGCGAACGGGGCATTGAGGTTCTTCGGGGAAAAAACCAGACCCGAAGCGCAGTTAATGACTCTGACGGGTGTCAGGCCTATCTTGACGCGTCTAGACGCTCGACCCTAAATTTCTCGAGTGCTGTGGGGTGACCGAGGAAGACTGAGAACGTTACTGTCGCGCGTTAATTACTGCGCTTACAACCCCCTGGCACCAACTTGTTGCTTCCAGAACCACCGTCGCGTCCCATGCACGAATTATTCCCCGTAATGAATCGTAATTCGTCCGATGGGACAGATTAGTCGCTGCAACGTAAGTTTATTGTTGCGACTTCGGAAGATTATTTTTCCAAGTTAAATGGAACATCAATTCGTATTAGCAGTACGAGTAAATTTGAAGAATGAGAGCAACACTGTCTTCAGACTTCCGGATTGACATGGAGGAATATAAGGGCGTAAAAGTCTTTGAATGATTGAAACACCATTATTATATAAGGAAAATACGTTGACACTTTGTTATGTATTCTATGATACATCGATACGCGAAATATTGAAGAAAATAGCCTGGTTTCTTAACCCTTTCGCCACGACGGGCCTCACCGCGAAGTCTCTCGTTAAGCGCGCGCAGTCTTCAGCGTTCGGGGCCCTTTTATCTCAAAAACGCCGTTGACACTGCTTTTAGAAGCAACATGATTTGTGTTCGTAACAATGTGTTTATCATTTTTCCATGAACGTGTTGTTATTGTTTATGTTAACTTTTGGCTCCATTTTTGTGGCCGACTATAGTCACCCGTCGTGTACGGGTGTTGTTTTGTGACAATAGTAACCCGTAGTAGCGACACGATTAATATACATACGATTTCTCGTTAGGTTCCTTTCAGAAAAGGAAACACTGAACATACCTATCGAGAAACTTTCAAGCGCAAAGGGGTAGAACGCAGATTAATCTCTCACAGGAAGATAATTAAAGCACGAAGGGGTGGAGCCAATCTACAAGGAACTCAATTAAATTTCCCAATGAAAGAAGCAAAGAAGTTCGTTCCCGGCATCACCCAGATTCGCGCAACCACCCGAGACCTGTCGCAACAGGTTCGGACTGGTCCCGTCCCGAAATGGGTAAATATCCACCCTTTTGATCACGGTGCTGCGCAGTAAAAGGGCCGAAAGACCCCCGGCTTCTCTCGGCCGGGTTGGAAACCGGAGAGGAGCGAAAGGAAAGGAAGGATCCACCGAGAGTGAGGTTCTACGAGCGAGGGGGTGATCGCGGGGGTGGGGTGGAAGAACGGTGCAGGTCGGGGTGGTACGTTGGATTAGTGTCGGAGGGTATCAGAGGAGGGAGAAAAGCGGCAGATGGTCGGCGTGGATCTTGACGTGGGAAGCTCCGAATTCTCCAAGTTCCCACAGCCAGAGTGCACCTGCCCTCCCCACTCTGTCACCCCGTCCTGCTCGGCCGGGCCTATATAAGGTCCGGGGTTGCTGGTTTAAGGCATCATTCGCTCACTAGCGCTTCGTTCCAAAGCATCCTCCCGAAAAAGTACACGATCTCTTTCGCACTCCTTCCACATACACACTTCTCTCGATCCCATCACTGTTCTCCAGCGCCGATTCTTCGGAGCCAGAGTATCAGCATCAGCCAGCAGACGCTTTTTCGTGAATCGAGTTTACGAGGGACAGAGAGAGAGAGAGAGAGAGAGAGAGACAGAGGCACACGAGGTTGCGCCGCGTGGTTTCAGTTCACACGAAACTGTACGGTCGTGCAGCGCTCCTTTAAAACCGGTTCAGTGCATCGAATATACATCGAGCAAAAATGGCCGCCACCACGATGAGCCACGTGTTCGAGTACGAGAACGAGCTGAACGACAACCTCTACAACCTGAAGATGTCCGGCAAGAGCAAGGCCAGCAACATGCGGCTCAGGCGAGCCCTGAAGCCGATCCTGCGGCTGCTGAAAAAGAAGACCGGCAAGACTGGCAAACACGGCAAGGAGCAGAAGGCTGTGCCGCAAGTGGAGGTGTTCACCGAGGAGGTTGACAACCAGAACAACGCGAACGAGGCCTTGGAGAGAAGGCTGCTCGCCGAACTCCAAGACGCCGAGGAAGGTGCGGCCATCACCGTCTGCCTGGACGGGCAGATGACTGTCGTGCCGGTTGTACCTGGTCAGTGCTACGTGCCCGTGCATTTCGCGCACACCCACGCCGGCGACTTCTACTGGACGACCTTGAGCATGGCCGACAGTGATCTGTGCTACAAAGAGCGCGCATTCTCGCAGCATCAAACGCCCGAGATGCAAGTCGCGTGAATCGGCCCCGTACGCCCGCTTTCGGGGACCTCTCACGAACACGTCACCTACCTCACACGACTCTCGAGGCTCGACCTCCACGATCTTCCTGAACTGCCGAAATTGAAACGACTCCTCGCAGTGCCGCGAAGGTTCGACGAGGAAGAGGATCCCGGGACTTCCGGGGATCGAGACTGGCGGGAACGCAGCAGGCGACGCGTCGAGTCGCTGAAGATATTCGAGGATAACGAGAAGACTCTCGTCAGACTGCCCTTTAGATAAGATTGCTGCTTCGAAACTGTGATAAATAGATTTTAGTTTTTACGATCGGTTCTTGATCGTTGAGAATTGAGAATTGTGAAGTTTCTCGCACGAAGACTGTTCCTCAGACTCGTGGTTCAGTTGCAGAGAGCTCGATTTTTAGAATATTTTATTTTTTCTCGATCTTTTTTTCTTTTTTTAATATTGTGACGACTGTACGAGGTCGGACGCAGTTGTGATATTTGTACCTACTAGGTTAATCGTTAATTAACGTATACATTGTGATATCGGCTTTAATGCCGCCGGCGTACGCCGACGAAACTTCCTACTGTCTTCCAATTTGTTAAGAGAATAAATCTAATTGTAACCCAATTTCACCTGTTTCGTCATTGATACCTTCTCTACCATTAGTATTTAAGTTCTTAGTTTGTAACGCGTCGAACGGAAGCGGGACGGGTAAATCGCGGGAGTACTAGCGTGGTCCGTTGGAATTCCATTGAATCGCTTTTCAACGTGTAACGTAAATTAGTCGGGGTGGCTACGGGGAAATTCGTTCCAACGACAATTCACCTGCAACCTTCGAAAATCGTTTGTCTTCCGTAACCAACGGACCCTTTGAACGTGAATCTCGAGACTTTGAAAAGAGCCTATTCATACCTGGGACTGGTTTGAGGAAGCCTTAGGGGTCTTTTCAGCCCTTCGACGCGACAAAAAAAGATTCACGAAATCTCCTAAGGGTTTCGGTTTCATTTTACCGGCGAAAGTTTTGTCCCTACGGCGGTGCGGGCCTTAGAGAAAGTTTGGTCAATAGGTTCCCCGTTGAAATTATGGGAAACTCGGGGTTCGGAAAGTTTCCCACGATACGATGTTTTCCTGCAACCGCCATAGAGAAACTAAAAACCGTCCCCTACATAGGGAACATTTCTGCTGCTTCCGTTTCGTTGAGAAAATGAAATCCGTTTTCATATTTCACTCATTTTCAATACTTCTAAATAGACGTCGCAACGTGTGTGCGAACATTATAAATAAATTAAGCGTCACGAAGATATTTCATTTGATTGAATATATACACTTTGTGTATTTCTGTCGGTTGCGTACCCCACATAGGAACCTCAGCGATTCTCCATTAAAGGGGAACAGGTTTCTTACGTAACATTAAATTAACTTATTATCGTAGGCGGCCTTGTTTGTCGAAATCTTAAAAATTTTAGCGAAATCAGTTTCTTATTGAAGTATTTCTCAGAATACAATACCCGAAGAATTATTTCTACTGATTTCATTTTTTTAGAAGATCGTTTAATAAGCTACGAAGGTATCGTTTACATTTCAAAATACTATCATAATTATTATTAGCTCTTAATTATACATTACTCATGTACATTCTTCGTAAATTCTTAACTTTCATTAAATAATCACACAAGTGACAATATAAAATTCATTATAAATCCTTAATTATTATTATACATTCTTCGTGCGTCCATAATTATTATTATTTAAAAATTATTGTTAAATGACAGTAGATACAATTTATCACGAGTTCGTAATTATTATTTGATATCAAAAATACAATCTCTTTTATTAATTTATTGCAAACAATGATAATCTGAAACGAAGCGTCAGTGTAACTTAATTTATTAACAAATACGCATTGTGCGACGGGTTGTGCAGGAGATTCTTCGTTAGAAATAAGGGTAGAAGGTGGCTAGTGAATGGGCACACGTGTTACCCATATGCGAGAGGCACATGTCCGTCAAGGTAGGTAGGGTGGTTGAATTCACATGATTTTCCCTGGTCGGTCGGGGGTAGCCGACCCTTCAACTTGAAAAATAACGAAAGATTGTGGAGCGCACGATGCTCGTGCGTTAGATAATAGGACAATAATATGTGGGGTGAATAATTTGGGGACAGCACACCGATAGGGTTATCCCTATTTTCTGTCCATTTAACGGTCAGCCGAGCATGAACGGATGTTGAATCGACCGCCCTCGATAGGATTAAAAGCGCAAATGTTCTGCTGGAGATTAGAATAACAAAAGTGGCGAGGTTACAAGTTGGATACTGTAACTTGTGTTGCTCTTATTGTCGAGAAACAGACGATTTTTGCTTCTTTTTCCGTAGGTCAATAAAAAAATTGTAATTGAATTTAATGATTATTATTTTGTTCAAGTGCTTGAATTATTAGTGTTATTGAACTAATATTATAGTTTCCTGGACTGTAAATATTTAGAAATAAATTCTGATAACTAAAATTGCTTCAAAATGCATTGTAATACACTATTAAATAAAATACAAGCTACTCGAGTTTTTGAGAAATAATAAATAAGTTTGTGATATCGTGAATTAGCGTTTACAAGTGAAATGTTTATTACTATATGAGATTCTTTTAATTGGACATGGAAACGATGCGATTATGAATATTCTATTTGGACAGTGTATTAATTGTTTAAGAACAACACAATCACAGTATCCAAAATGCTTAAAAACAAATTTTTAATTTATAATATTATACAAACAGATTAATGTTAAAGTTAACGCAGTTTTAATATCATAACAAATTTCGAAACAATTTTATTTGGATAAAACAGTTATGACATTAAAACTATGACTATTTTCCTACAACTATAACAAACGATAATGTGTTATAAAAAATAAGTTAGAAATATGATAAGCACTCCTATTTAATTGCTTAAAAATGAAAACTTTAAATGTTCATTACAATGAAATTTAACTGTTCTCTCATTTTAACAGTTAAATTGATACCGTTTTATTTCACGAAAATATAAATAGTGCGATTTTTAAATTATATCATAAAATTAGCAATAATGAAAATTTGATTTCATGAAAATTTTGGCAACCTGAATGTCATTCGGCAGGAAGCAGAAAGACGATGGGAGCCCAAAGGGTAGGCAACCCTTCGTACCAGATTGTATTAGGAACACGAACATCAGACGCTGTAGGTATGCTTAGCATTCAGATACAAAGAAGCAGAAAATTCAGACTTAATAAACATTGCGTGCATAATACACATTTTCAAGAAATGGAAAAGATATAATATTATAGAAAAGATTATTTAAACAATATTTATAGCTCTTGAAATGCAAAATTGTCCTACTTCTTTCCTAATCATTCTCCTTTTCATTAAAGAAACGTTTAGCTCGCGGTTTATATTACAAAAAAGATTTTAAAAAATATGACTAATCAAGAAATATGTAAATAATATCAAAGACTTTAATATAAAAAACAAATTAAGAAAGAAAGTGAATTAACGAAAACTGATTATAATACGTAACGATCCAATGAGATTTCTTTAGAAGAGAAAATCAAACGTCTGTGTGTCGGACATAAAACAAGGCTAGAAAATCATCCAACTAACCTAGCAAATAAGTTACATTCAGATCTTCTTAGATTACGTAGAAAACATCCTAACCTCTCCCCATAACACAAGGAGCGACTACAATACAAATGCATTCTACTTAGAAAGCATCCACGCGCTACATCCCCAAATACTCATCAACCAGATGATCGAATGTTCACTCTGAACAGATTGTAAAGTGCGTTGAGATATTAAAAAAAAGGGTTAACTATTTAACTTGGAACGATACTAATTCTTTCAACGATGAATTCTTCACTTTTCCCAATGAACACCTAATTCTTCTGTTTTGCTTTGGTTTTTCATTCAACTATATCCTAGGCGCATTCATCCCGCGTCGAGTGCACAGCTTATTCTTTTATTACACCGCTGACAAAACAAGAGATTATTTAAAATAAATTCCACAGTTAACAGGTGAAGTCGAACGAATCGCGCTGGCCACGCTTCTACGTAGCTAGCGACACGAAATGTATCAATTATATATCGAAAGCATACGTATCTGCACTTCATCTTTCCTTCTCCCCCTTATTCCGGCGATCGGCTTATGTCGATGAAATTAATTCATTACACGGTGCACCGTAACTGGGCCGACTCGTTTCTTTCTCCTTCTGCGCCGAATACCTGGGAACGAGTAAATCGATCGAAAAGCCACTCTGTCGCAACGCCGTGAGATCTTTTCTTCGAGTAATTGGGATGATTACGGAGTCCGGGCGAGAAATTAGTTGCTCGACGAGAATCGATTCTTCGGCGAGCCACTTTAAAAAAAACATCGAGCGTACCTGCACGTGTGCGTAGCCTCTCTCGCGAAAGTAGCGGCGGGATTCGGGCGCTTTCAAAAACACCTTCAATCAAAGATGGAAATCTGGAAAGCGAGAAACACTCGCTGGCTCCGATAACTACGGTTGTAAATGTCCGTCGCAGCACCGCTTCATTTCATGCTTTTAAACTCTTTATCGGGTTACAATGTATCGGCTCCGGTGTAATGTCGTTGTGAAACTCGAAATGTATAAATGTCGTTCGCCTGAGTTTTACATGAACGATAATCGTGTCATTGGATGCCAAAAACGCAAGTTAAATTAGAAAAAATTAGGGTAGACTGCGGCGAATCGGATAAAAATAATATTGGCTGTATTTATTACGTTATAGAGATGGGTATGTTGATCGTCCATATTACTTCATAAAACTTTTCTCAAAACCGAAGAAGAAGAGATGCGCTTCACCCATATTTCTCAGTTTTTTGCCTTAAAACGAAGATTCTTGAGTTTTTAACGTGTTTTTTTCCTGATAGTGAAGCTGAATGTGTATTAAGAACAAATGTATGAACAAAATTCATTCTTAATTTTAACTATCAGTTTCTTGCTCCAGAATTTGAGTCAAAACGGATATTTCT